TGCAACAGAACTGCCACATCCCAAAGGAAACCCTCCTCTGCACCAACAGGTTATCTCCCAAGCAAATCTTCCCTCCCAGCTATAAGAATCCAAACCATGCCCTGTCTTCAGCTTTGCTGTGGTGAAGATGGAGTGGATGGGAATGATTTCAGCAGTTCCCAAGCACCAGTAAAGAGGACAAAGAGCAGCAAAGCCCAGCATGACTTGGAACAGACAGACAGAATCCTTCACTGAGCACAGGAGACCAGTGTAATTCCAGAGATCCAATTTCCTCACTCACAGCCTCAAAAACTCACCACCCCATCCCACAGAGCAGCTCCTACTGCAGCAACTCAGCAGTGTCAAAACAATACTCAGACAATGCCCCTGCACACACCAGCTCTGGCCCCCAAATCCCAACCTGTGAAACAATTTCAGGACTCCATCACAGAATCCACCTTCTCCAACACAGGAGGGAGATGCCTGTGATCCTTCTGCTCCACTCTGGGCTTTGCAGCACCTTTCCTGGACTCCCTGGGGGAGAGGGTGTGACTCTGCACAGCCATGGCAGGGTGTGACACACACAAGGGGGACACCCCCCCCCATGTGCTCCACGTGACACGGGGTATCCTTAGTCCCCTGAAATCTCCAGCCAGGGCCGTTCCTGCAGCACAGGCCATTCCACACACTCCCCCTCACCTGTGTTTCAGTGATATTCCAGGGTGTGTTTGCAAACAACAGGAATGCCTCATGCTGCACCTCACGGTGTTGCAGATGTTTCCCACAGAGACCCCCAGGTTTGTCATCACACACACACACACAGAGTGTCTGGGGCACCACCACACCTTGTGTACAGGTGCCCCCTGAGCCCAGGCCCCACTCTGACCCTTCGTAGTGCTCCTGCAGCCCCATCCACCCCATCCCTGCCCTCCACACACCTGCACTCCCATACCCAGCCTGCCCTGCACCCCCTTAACCTCTCCCTGACCCACCCATGGGCTCTGTAAGCCCCCACAGTCCCCCTTCCCTGAAGGCCCCGCACCCCCTACACCCTCACCTGCCTTTCCAACCCTCCGCCCCAGGTATCCTCTTGGCACCTCTGCCCTCCCTGCAACCCCTTTCCAGCCTTTGTTCCCATTCCACACCCTCCCACAACTCCTGCTCCTCCTACTTCGGCCCTGCACCCCACAACCCTCCCCAGGCATCTCCCCACACACACAGCCCCCCAAAGCTCCACCTGTGCACCCCACACCCTCCAAAACCGCATCCCACACTCCCAGCCCCCCAAACTTCCACCTGTGCACCCCAGACGCCCCAAACTTCCACCTGTGCACCCCACTCCCCCAACATTCCACCTGTGCACCCCACATGCCCTGCCCGCCCCTCAGGGCCCGCCGGCCTCTCCCCCACGCACCCCCCCAGCCCAGGCCCCGCTCCCCGCGCGCCCCTCAGAGCCCCCTGGCCGCCGCGGCCCGTCTCTGGGAGCCCCCCCCGGCCACCCCCCAGCCCGCCACTCACTGTGGGAACTC